CTATGATTATATGTAAAGAAAATACATTGTACCTGGTATATGTGCAGACACTGGAGGTTGGTTGTGGGCAGCAAGGAAAACATGAGTTGAATTGTGGTGTTATACCGGAGCCGAGACTTCAAGAAGTGGGTCAAGGCGCACCACTCCTTGCACGCCGGGATGACCGGAATGTGGGAATGCCCTGACTTCTACCCTGTGGCGGTGGCCGGAGGCAACCATCACCACCAGAGTGGTGTGGACACCACGGAGTTGCACGACCGAGTTGTGGCCGAGGAGGTCAAGTACGTGCTCAAGGTGAGTCTAGAACTGACATGATACGATTACTACACCGTCGGCACCTATGACCACGACAAGGATAGGTACACCCCTGACCCTGTCTTCCAGGATAATGACTATGGCCTCCGCTATGACTATGGTGACTTCTACGCCTCCAAGTCCTTCGACCCGGCCAAGAACGCCGAGTGCTCTGGGGCTGGGCCAATGAGTCTGACACCGTTACCGACGACCGCCACAAGAGCTGGGCCGGCATCCAGGTCACTAGCTACGCTTGCACATGAACAAAATTATTTTTGCTAGTATATTTTCCACCGTACGTGCTTAGAGCCTGTGATCGAGATGTATCGTTGTTGCTAATTTTCTTAGGCGATACCAAGGAAGATCTTCTTGTCGCGAAGCGGGAGGCAGCTGATCCAGTGGCCAGTGGAGGAGGTCAAGTCGCTGCGCTCATGGCATGTCAATGTGAGCAACAAGGCCGTCAAGGGAGGCGAGTACTTTGAGGTCACCGGCTTCAAATCCGTGCAATCGGATGTTGAGGCAGCGTTCAAGATCAGGAACCTGGACAAGGCGGACAAGTTCGACCTGGCGTGGTGAACCGACGCACAAGTGCTATGCAATAAGTTCAACTCGCACGTCAAAGGTGGTGTTGGGCCATTCGGGCTCTGGCTGCTAGCCTCCGACGACATCGAGGAGAGGACAGCCGTCTTCTTCAGGGTGTTCAAGACCAACGACCCCAATTACGTCGTCCTCATGTGTAATGACCCAACAAGGTAACATATAAGATATAACTCACTCAAGTCACATTATTACATATAAGACCCAACAATGTTGAAATGTTGGACTATCCATGCATCCTGATCCAATAGTAATTCCAAATGATCGCTATCAAACAGGTCGTCGTACGAGTCACAGATCTACAGGCCGACCTTTGCGGGCTTCGTCAACATCGACATAGCTAAGACCAAGAAGATCGCACTCAGGACATTGGTACGTAACTAACCACAAGACAACCATCAAAGTATGCTGTAATTAATATCTATGTCACCGTTGAAAGAGGGGTCTAAGCCATGTCACGAACTTGACTTCAGATTGACCATTCTGTAGTGGAGAGCTTCGGGGCCGGCCGGAAGACGTGCATCCTGGCGAGGATTTACCCGAGGAAGGCCATCGGGGAAGACGCGCACCTCTTCGTCTTCAACAATGGCGAGTCGGACATCAAGGTCACCAACCTGGACGCGTGGCATATGAGGACCCCCACGATGAACAAGCTGCTGGAGCAGTAGCAGCAGCCTGGACGATCGAGGAGTAGAAGTAGCCTAGCCTAGCCGTAGCTAGCTAGCTTATTAGTTTCGCTGAGATGGATCAATTAGGAGAAGCTAAAGTTAAAAATGTAGTTGAAAACTTGCTGCCCACGGAAACATGGGAATGAATAAAAGTTTTAGTGGATGAGTCCATTTTCGCCCTGAAGAATTGCAGATCAGTTTATGTCCCTTTTTGTTCGACAAGCTGCTGCTGAACTTCCAGTTAAATATCTCCAAGAGATTTTTAACTTGTTTTGACATGCACATTTTCTAAGGTGTTATGTTGATGTACATGCAAAAGTCACACAACTAGTGTTATTTAATTGTCAGTTAAGAAAACTACTCCCTCCGTCCCATAATATAAGAACGTTTTTAAGCTATGTTAGCTTAAAAAACTTTCTTATATTATAGGACAGAGGGAGTACATTTTTGTTCTTCTCGTCCTGGTTGCAAGCTGAGATGCAACTAAACCAGCAATAGGTTGAAATTTGTGAGAGCGACAGTAACGTAAAATTTCTGCGGAGTATGTGATTTGGTACATGGCGGCTGGAGCTATATGAAGGTTGAACATAATCAGTTATTAGCGCTACTTACTTGAAGCTCTGGCCTTGACCATAAGCCGTGATAATCTTGTACAAGCATAATAATATCCTCGGTTGAGCAAAAAGTGCTCAAGCAGCGTGGATGCATACTAACATATTATTTGAGTTCAAGGGAGACAGGATCTAGGGTTTCCACCAAAGCATGTTCGGAAAAGAAGGGGAGGGCTGCAACATCAATGCAACAAGGGCAGGTGCCTGTAGGCGCCGCCATCGACTACTCCGGCCTCAGTCAGAGCACGGCTTTTGGCAGCAGTCTCCGTGAGCATCTTGCCACATCTCGCCCTTGATAAGTCTCCGACGTATCTATATTTTTTGTATGTTTCATGCCACTATCTTATTTTTTTATGCAAACTTTGATATTTGTTTGGACTAGCCTACTAATAATTGCAAGAGAAGCACAATTACTTGTTTTCCCTTATGTGTGTAGGAACTTCATGAAAAATCAATGAACTACGAAAAAACTTCAAGGTCCGGTAAAATTTGGAGTTGCTACATATCTGTCCATGCAAGTCTAAGTCTTAAAGATCATCACTTGGATCCCTTAAGATTGAGTCAAATGAAGAAAATCAATACATGAAATTTATACTCCACATCATAGAAAAACTTTAGCACTCGGAATCTCCCAATTCTAAGTTTGTATACAGTGTGTGGGCCCAATCCAATATTTACAAAAACTGCTAATTCCAAACAAAGCGACAAGATTGACACTAAATCCTTCCAAACTTGATGGATTCGAACGTGGTTTGATCCTATGGGCAAGAAAGGCTTTGGAGGGGTCTAAACATGTCCAAGGGCCCTTGGATCAAAGCCTTATGGGTTGGATGGCCGAGATTGGAAGACTTGACCTATATATTGTTGGGAAACCCTAACTTTTCACCCGGGGGGCACTCTTTGGTGCCAAAATTGTAGCACCATAACCTCCATCTATAGAGTAGAAAATTCATCACCAACAAAGAGAAAGGGGGCCTTCCCTCTCCCTTTCAGCAGTTGTGGTAAGTCTGCCTAGGGACTCCACCATTTCCACCACCATCTTCCTTGGACCAAACGGTTCACCATTGTAAAAAATAACATGTAATCTGCTACTAAGACATGGTGTTTGATTAATGAATAATTTGCCTATGATTTGTTTCTTGTTTTCATGTCTGAGTAGTTTTCTTTTGTCCTATTATACCGGTGTTCTAGGATGCTTAGTATGCATTGTATGAATTGTTATTGTGTTGTACTAGGGTGTTAATATAGAGGTGCACACTATATTGAATCACCCTTTAGAGTAATCAATGTGTTATGATAAGTTTAGTATGGTAGGCCGGAGTGAAAAAAGTCGTTTCTTGAGTTTAGGAATTATAACATAGGCGTTTCGAAAGGAACCCTAGAGGAAGTTATGGCCACGATTAACGTTTTACCTGAATAAATCTCAGTATTTGTGGATACTTGCTAGGAAAACAATTTTAAGTACATGTGAGGCCATTATTTTGCAGCATGTAAGTACATGCTTCTGCCGCATAACAATTCTAAGAAGTTTGTGTACTGGGTTTGCTATGTCACTGATTGCCTAGGGAAAATTCCACCGCTACCTTCACAACCATAAAAGTTTCTCTCTTTTTATTTTTACAAACTACTCCCTCTGTAAAGAAATATAAAAGCAGTGAGATAAATGCAATTATATTTCTTTTCGAAGGGAGCAATATATAGTAGTACCTAACTATTAACTTTATCATTTTATCTTAGTTGTAGATAGATACTTTAAACATAGTAAACGTTTAGTGGGTTCTTTTCTCCTGGCCGCCAGCGGGGGCGATATAGGAGGTGGCAGGAGTGGGGATCAAGGCAATACTGAGTTTTTTTTTCAATCACAAAGTGAAAGGAGTTTTTTTTAGAAATGATAAATACTGAATGTTTGGGATTTGATCATGGAAGATCGAACCTTTTTTATGACAATTTTAGTTGACGCGAGGATGAAAACTTTAGGTGGAAAGCATGACAATTTTCTGGCCAAAAATGAACTTAAAGTAGATTGTCTATGTTTACCAACTAAACTTGTCATGGTAAACAAGTATAAATTGTCAAAATAACATTTTATCTAACATGGTCAAATCCGGACTTATGGATGTTTTTTTTTGAGAGTATGCCAAAGGCGCACCATATTTTCATAGAAGGCAGAAGACAATTATAAGAAGTTACAACTCGTTGCGAACAACAAGTGTAGACAAACACCACACCCAAGCTAATCCGAAGAAAAGCCTCCGCACATATTACATACACAACACAAAGACACCTGCCCTAACCAGAGCAACATAGCCGCGTCGCGACCAACACCGATCATCTCAAAGAGCAACAACTTCAATGGACTACCCTAGTCGACGCACCAACCACCCTTGAATGCCGAAGAGGAGATGACGAGTAGTTGGCGGGACTCGGCTGGTCCCAAGAAAGCCACCGTCTTGAGCTCACCGGCAATGGCGCCCAGAACCTCCAGTCGGACCAATGACATGCACCGGAGGACCACATTACAGAATCACCAAGCCATGTCTCCACACCCGATGCCCCCAACGGAGAAACGACGCAACAACGCCGCCATCGCCGGTCCAAGACCTAGGCTTTTGCCCGGAAACGACAATCCGAACAAGAGGGGAAAGATGGGGACACACCGTAGCAACGCCTCCAAGGAGGTGAACGATACCCACATGCGTCGTCGTCGCAAGCACGGACCAAAGACGTGTAGGATTTTCATCCGTAATGCCGCCCACCTCCCATCCCTCGCAACGAATTGGGCCACTCATCTGTAAAGGATCACACCGCCGCCGCCGCAGCACCTAGCCATCATGGATGTACCATCGCAGAACACCGACGCCCAGCACGGCCGAGGGCACTCAGACCATCACCCACCTCCCGCACGGCCGGGGAAAGCAACTCCAGACCACCTTCCCAACCCAAAACCAACACGGCCAGGGGCCGCCGGCGCCTCAAGCAATGGCTGAACGCGCCACTCCTGCCGGACAGCCACGCATAGAGAGCAACCCTCGACGCCTGGAACCCACAAATAGAGGAAAACCAACGCCGTCGGATGGAGCTCCCTGCCGAGAGCTGTTGTTCCGAGCTCAATCTCAAATCTCACACCACTCCATCTCCTCCTCCTTCCACTCGCCAGTAGCAGCCCCTACACCGGCTTCACCATGAGGCACAACGCACCCCGTCCACCGCAGCAGCTCCAGACCACCGCTAGCGCAGCCCGCCTGGCCGAGATATGGTGCCTCCATGACCGGGTGCGCCGTCCCCTCCGAGATCCGCCGCCTCTATGACTGGGAGGGCCGTCGCGCACCAACACCTCTTCCACAAGCCCGCGGCCGTGCTCCGCCTCCACATGCGCACCTCGTCGCCTGCCACGCCACCCACCTCATCGCCAGAGAGACCACCGCGCCGCCTAGTTGACGCCACTCCCCCGCTCGTGGGAGGCCCGTCGGGGTGCGCCAGACTTCGCCCTCCGCCTTTGACGGCCAGGGGAGCTTGAGGAGGGGGCGCTCGCAGGGCTAGGGTGCCTCCGGAGCGGCCCGCACGAGCTGCTCGAGTGCCTCAGTATCTCAATTCTGAAAGTGGGATAAGTTGAAAATCCAGTAGTCAGCTTATAGTAGTGTTGAACTTACGGATTACTACTAATATTGTGGAATGTGTTGAATTTCTTCTTTGTCATCTGCACTTGGTTCCATTTTTATTGATAGACCAACATGGTCTGGTTTTGACTTACAGATTCAATATAATTTTGTGGTACACAGAAGAATAACACATCAAGAAAACGCAAATACAGAACCATCCGCACAGTTTGATCCAATGAAGCTGAGGAAACTTGGGGCCAGCGTTTAAGAAGAATTGGCCCGTAACAGCTGGCAGTTCTTCTATCTACTATAAGGTTTGCAATTTTCGTACCCTTGTTATTTGTTTTACTTCTTTATGGATATTTACTTAGATGGTAACTTTGCTAAATAGTTTAAACAGCAATATTCCAGTATGGTACCATAACCCTGAATAAAAACATCCAGCTAGTAGAATTGAGCTATGAGATTGAAGTGCCGCTATTCAGTATTTGTTAACATAACAATTTCATTCAGATTTATGATCCTGCTTGGTATTGTAGCTTTATTTTTACATGACCAGACCACCTTCAGCCAAACAATGTTGTAGATTTTCAGTAGTAAAAATCAACGGTCTGTTCTGTGTCATCTTAAGAGAGTACTGAAGAGCTAGATTATTTCAGAGCTCAATTTTCTTTTTTGCATGGTTAAGATGAATTACACGAAGCGATGTTACATTAAAGTGTAACTGCAGTGCCTTTCTTATCTTCCAGCACTGTACAGTTGGTGCTGCTGCAATTGTACTAGTCAATGTGGTGAAAGCTAAGAACCTTGGCCTTCAAGTTATTGCAAGGATAAAATTTGAGCTGAAGGTAGTCTGGTCTTGCCTTACATGCCTTTCATTATTCATTGCTGGTGAAACAAATGTTGTTTGAAAATTTTTGACCCATTATTCTTGTTAATGATTACTTATACAAACATTATCCTTTCCTATGTCTCAAAACTGTGAACCTAGATAATATCATCCAATGATCTTTTTCTGTAGGATTCAATGTTATTTTTTTCTCTCTTCTTATTATTTTGCATTACAATGAGTTTTTTGCGTTAACATTCATTACAACTTCAAGCGCTTGTACTATTTACAACAGCTCCAGCTCTTGCTATCCTAAAGGTTATATCAAATTCAGGTCTCAAGATTCACAAATAGCCTCATTCTAGTGGATACGATCAAGAAAGCGACAGTTTGGTCACACTTGGATCGATCTGGTAAAGCCATTTTTGTTCGATTTTTAGGAATGTCGCTGTTACTTTTAACTCAACACATGGAGATGCTAATTGACCCGAGCTATGTGAAAAATTCCATAATTGAGGAAGAACTCTAATTCTTACTACTACTCGAGCTTCTCAACCTCTTGTGAAATCTATTCATTTAGCAATGTACAGAAGGAAATGATAACTTCATTTTCAATCAAGATATACTGAATGGATATGTAGGAATCAAAGCAACCGCTAGAGCTCTGGAATCAGAGTTCTTTTAATTTGCACATTAAAATATTTATGACGGGTTATATGAAAATAATCTTACTGCATTTGTCTTCGATAGTACATTCATTGTTTTTTTACCACATGTACTAAAAAAGAGAGTTCATGGCCGGAGCTCCAAGTTAAAGAGCCAGTCATGTTATAATAGCTACATAAATGTTCAAATATCTCGATTCTTAAAAAGGGTAAGTGACTTTGGTTATTTTATTGTCCTTGCTACTTGTTTCTTTTCCCTTAGGGGTGAAATGTCTGATGGATGGATATAGCTTCAGCTTGTTTTTATTCCTGCACCATTCTTCATTAATCATTGCTCACGCAATTTTACTATTTCAGGCCACAAAATGACTGTAATAGATTTCATAGATCTGAGTAATCATGATATTATTGACTTGAGCAGCAGCGATGACGAGATTGTTCAGGAGGGTCATATTGCAACTAAGCACCGGGCGGCGTCGCTTGATAGGCAGACTATGCATGTCATAGCTGGTGTAGGAATCCAAGATGTGCAGGCTGCGTTTGTTGCAACTAGTGAAGGAAGGCAAGATGTGCAGGCTCTGTTTGCTGCAGCTAGTGAAGGAAGACAAGAGGCTGCTGATTGCGGATATGCTTTGGAAGTCACCACATCGTCCTTGGTTACGGAAAAAGAACCTCTTGTTGCAGCTAGTGAAGGAAGCCAAGATGTGCAAGCTGTGCTTGTTGCAGCTCTTGAAGGAAGCCAAGATGTGCAGGCTGCGTTTGTTGTAGCTAGTGAAGGAAGCCAAGATGTGCAGGCTGTGCTTGTTGCAACCACTGAAGGAAGGCAAGAAGTTGCCGACTCCGGAAATGCTTTGGAGGCTACAGCATCGTCTTTGGTTACTGAAAAAGCACCTCTTGATATGGCTGAATCACACAACTGTCCTCGCTCTCCCACATCAGCGACATTCCCCAGTATATTCCTCTATCCCTTTCTCAGTACAGTTGTGTGTTTATCTTGCAAACAGTCCATATCAAGCAACCATTGCAACAAATTATTATTATTTGAAGTTAACAGCACCCTTCCCAGAAAAAAATTTAACATTGACCTGCTGCAGGCCCGACTTCTACCGTTCTGAAGGCTCCGACCTCTGAAGGTGGCGATGCAAAGCTGGTAAGAGGGAAGGTGAAGCGTCCCAGGAAGAACTACCACACCGGTACTCCTAGGACAAGTCCTAGGTTTGAACTGAAGCCTGAATGTCGGAACGGGCCTCTGGACGAGCTGCCAGCAAAGGCACTGACCTCTGAAGGTGGCGACGCAGAGCTGGTGAGAGGGAAGCTGAAACATCCTAGGGAGAACTACCCTGCTGGCACTCCTAGGACAAGTCCTAGGTTTGAACAGAAGCTTGATTGTCGTAACGGGACTGTCGAAGAGCTGCCAGCCGAGGCACTAATTTCTGAAGGTGGTGATGCGGAGTTGGTGAGAGGGAAGGTGAAACGTCCTAAGAAGAACTACCATACCGGCACTCCTCGGACAAGTCCTAGGTTTGAACCGAAGCGTGAATGTCATAACGGGTCTGTGGAACAAATGCCAGCCGAGGTTCTGACCTCTGAAGGTGGTGATGCTGAGGTCGTGAGAGGGGAAAGAAACATTCTAGGAAGAACTGCCATACCGGCACTCCTCGGACAAGTCCTAGGTTTGAAACAAAGCGTGGATGTCGTAACGGGTCTGTGGAAGAGCTGCCAGCTGAGGCTCTGACCTCTGATGCAGAGCTGGTGAGGGGGAAGGTGAAACATGCTAGGAAGGATTACCATACTGGCACTCCTAGGACAAGTCCTAGGTTTCAACTGAAGCGTGAACGTCGCAAGGGGCCCATGGAAGAACTGGCAGCCGATCACATGAGGTTCCGCACACTAGAAGAATTAATTGCCTCTCCTGACAATGCAGAATCTGCGAAGACCCCCTCTACCGACTCTCTGAACTAAGGTAGTTGACTGAATATGATGCCCATGAAACTTTCAAACGGTTGTTGCTCTAGATTGTCTCATGCATGTTTATGGAACCACCATTGTTGCATTTGTAGTGTGGCTGGAGCTCACATTTTGCCCCATGTATCTCAGAATTAATATTCCCATTGCACCAAATCCATCTAAATTGCAACTTGTGGCTGGCTGTTGACTGCAATACTTTTGATGTTCATGTGCATTTCTGCGATATAATGTCTGACACACTGCTTCTAGTTAAAACTTCAGAAAGACTTTGAACTTGTTTTGTTTGTCATGCACATTTTGATGTACTTGGAAAAGGTACATGTCTGCTGCTATTTGGGACTTGAGAAAACTTTCAGATTGAAATTTGTGAAAGGAACTACACTTAAATTTGTGAAAAAAAGTGTGTTTGGTACATGAAGCCCGAAGCTATATTTTAGTTCTGTTCACAGATGAATTTACAACTGTGAAGGCTGAACACCATCAGTACTTGAAGAATGTTGTTCCTTGGGAGTTGAGAAAACAACACCAGGCTGCAAGCTGAGATGTAAGTGCGCATTAATCATGTAACCAACCAGCAATAGGTTCAAAATTGTGAGCAACTGCAGTGTGAAATTTGTGAAAAACTCTGTTTTTTATCTGGAGGTTAGAACTATATTTAGTTGTGTTCACAGGGGAATTTACAACTGTGAATGTTGAACAACGTCAGTTAGTGCTACTTACTGGAAGTATTTTCTTTTTGGCGAGGGTACTTACTCGAAGTTCCGAGCCTGAGCATATACTCTTCTTCTGAGCAACCGTAAGTATAATAATATTGCGGAGACATATTGTCTGAAATCGTCTCATATTTTTCAAATACTAGTTCAGAAGACTAAAACTGTATAACTGATGATATTCAGGACAGAAGTGTTGTTGACATGGTTGGTTCAGAAACAAAGATATAACGCACCATGATTTATTTGAATCGTGAACGCTAACTTTTGGAGCATGCGATTTCTGTCTTGAAAGTCCTTTTAGAACTACAAAGCCCAGGTTGCTCAGAAGGGAAAAAAATACAAGCACACACAAGACTAAGACTTGATGCTAACTATGAAGAGAAAATTGTAGACATGCCTGCTGATGTAACGAAAACGGAAAGAGAGCAGGCAATAGTTAGTGAGCGTGAAGAACTTCACTTTCTTTAACTTTTCTTGTTAAGTGAACAACCGAGAGATATTTGGAAAAAAAGGGGAAATGTTGTGCGCTGTTAGAAAAGATGTTAAATGCAGGATTCTTTTCCTACAAATTTGACACGGCTAATATCCTACAAATTTGGGTTAAGCCGTTAAAATCCATTTGTCATAAAAGAATCATTATTACTTTAGGGGAAAGGCCATGAGTGGACATTTTTTTTTAAGTTTCAATTCTTTTCTTCTTCTTATTGAGATACATATTTCAATTTCTAGAACAGTTGAAAGGGGTAAAAAATAACACCAGCTAGATGCATAGAAGTAGTAGTTGAAAGAGGCTGATGCTAAGGGCATCTCCAAGGCGGACCCGTAAACCCCCCGCAACCGTCTGGATCGCGAAAGTCATCCAACGCGGTCCTGTATCGGTCCGCGGGGCGGTACGGACGCGATTTCTCCCGCAAAACGGAGATAAAAGTGGGGGAGGTTTGCAGGAGTTCGAACACGCGAAACTTACGAATCCTACACCCCAGGCCCACCCAAAAACCCTTCCCGGGCCCCGCGACTCAATCCTCCCAATTTTCTCTCCTTCCTTCTTTCTCTCTTGCCGTCGTCGTCACTCCAGCACCGTGGCCACCACGCCACATCCCTGCTGGAAATCTGCGTCTCCGTCACCTCCGACGATCAAGTAGGGCTCCCTGGAGCTTCTCCTCCATCTCCGTTCAACCCCCTGTCGTCTGACCGCCCCACCAGGTACCATCCTCTACCATGCCCGACAACTGTTCGATGAATGCCGGAGCTAAAAACAGTTTTCCTTCTTCTTTCTAGCAATGGATTCTGATTTGGAGTACATATACGAGCAGTAGGTTGAGTTGTCCGACGGCTCGTCGGACGAGGAGTACTCCGATGAGACGGCGATGATGCAGGCGGTCCTTAAAGACGTGGAGCGTGCGGAGGAGCATGTACTCAATTCCAAGGGCCTGATCAAAGGTCATCGAGTGCTCAACCGCAACAAGGCGCATGGCCATTTGACACTGATGGCCGACTACTTTGCCCCCGATGCACTCTTCCCTGACCATTTTTGTCGGTGTTTTCGGTTGCGCAAGACTGTCTTCTATCGTTTGTACCATGGCGTCAGGCCTTACGATGACTACTTCTTCCTGAAGAAGGACGTCGTGGGAACGATTGGCTTCTCTGGTTACTAGAAGTGCACGGCCGCACTCTGAATATTTGCATATGGCATGGCCGCTGATTCGTAGGACGAGTACCTACGGATGTCTGAGAGCACATGCGGAGATGCCATGGTCAGGTTTTGCAACTGTCGTGGTCGTGGTGTTCGGACCTCTATACCTGAGAGAACGAACCGTGGCAGACACTGAGAGGCTCCTGGCAATCTTAGAAGCAAGAGGGTGCCCAGGTTTTTGGGCTCTCTTGACTGCATGCATTGGAAATGGAAGAACCGCCTGAAGGCCTTACAAGGGCAATATCAGGGTCATGTTAAGAAGCCCATCATCATTCTTGAAGCAATTGCATGCCATGATCTTTGGATTTGGCATGCTTTCTTTGGCATGCCCGGTTCTCACAATGACATTAATGTGCTGCAAAAATCGTCGTCGTTTGCGAGGCTGACTGAAGGAAAGTTCCTCCTTGCCACTATACTGTCAATAGACATGAGTACAACATCGGCTACTATCTGGTTGACGGCATATATCCTCCATGGACTACCTTTGTCAGCACCATCTCAAACTCGGCTAGCCAGAAAAGGGCTCACTTTGCCCATAGACAAGAAAGCAGCTAGAAAGGATGTCGAGAGGGCATTTGGAGTTCTTTAGGCCCGTTTTGCAGTTGTTCGTGGACCTGCAAAACAATGGGATCCGAAGACCTTGTGGGAGGTGATGACATGTTGTGTGATCATGCACAATATGATCGTTGAGGATAAGGATGACGATGTTGCCGATGTCTGGATTTTTGAACATGGGTGATCCTATCCAATTTCCGGACCAGAATCCGGCTACATTTGAGGAGTTTATTCAAATGCATCAATAAATTCGGCATCGACCAACTCACGAGCAGCTCAAGGAAGATACAAAATTTTAACTAGTGATGCATGCGGTTATTTGAACTTCTGTATCTTTTGCATGCGGCTACTGATCGTGCGGACTTGGGGAAAAATCCGGAAGACCAGATGTATGCAGTTACAATTGGATGCGGCCTTCCGGATTTTTTTCGGGTCCACGGACGGGCTGCGGGGCGTTTTTTGCGGGTTGCCGTTCAAGATGCCCTAACGGAGTAGAATAGAAGCATAATAGATACTACTTTTCCACTTGAGTAACACAAACGCCATCTTATTTGAAAGGACCTTAGGAGGGTGGGGGAGTAGTAGTAGTAAGATGGATGCATTTAGACTATATTGTGTACTACTACAAACAAACAATCTGGCTCATACCCCAAAAAATTAAGGAGATACAATCACAAATCAGTCGGTTTCCCTTGTCTCACACGCCACACAGGCAGCACTCCACTCCACTCGACAGGCAGCACTCCACACGCCACACTGCCTCAGCTTGCTTGTGATGGATGGTGCAGAGTCGACAGGAGTAGAGGATGGGAGCTGACCGGGCGTCAGCGAGAACCACCTTTCCAACTGGGTTGATTGGTTGAGTAGCCACCCACATAACCTGCAAAGCATTCTACTAGAGTAGCTCCTTTTTTTTTTTGAAACTTGACCCTCCAAAGCAATGAGTGCACGGCTGTGAACTGCTCGTGCTTGTCTCGTTGCCATGGCGGTGTTAGGCCAACTCCAAAGCATAGCCTCAAATAGACGTCCATTTTATTCGGATTTCGTCCGTTTAGTGCGATAAAATGGAGGCCCGTGTTCGGTTTGGCCTGTCCGCCGGCCGGTGCGTTCAACGCGCGGCACATCACTTTTTTTCCGGCCCCAGATAAAAAAAAGAGATCGGCCACACATTTAAAAACATAGACATAAACTTAATTAAACAGTTCTAAAATATTTAAACGTTTAAAACAAGTTCCGGCCCGCACATTACACTTAGAACTTAAAAAACATATAAAAAACTAGATGCCGCCGACGCCGTGGCCGTCGTCAATGTCGTCGCTCTCTTCAGGCGCGGCCGTACTCCTCGTAGTCGTCCCTGGCTACGGTTGGACACGCTGACGCTTCGGCGGCCATTTGAAGGGTCATATCTGTAGATGCTCTTAACCATGAAGAGAAAATTGTAGACATGCAAAATCACCAATACACGTAGCTACTGGATCAGGTGAAAATGTTGCCACCCAAGAAAAAAGTACAACGTATGGTGTAGAGTTACAGATCCAGCATTTCCCAGCGTTAATGCAACGAGGGGGAGTGATTTCAGCTGCTACCACTTCTGCAGAAGGTAGTGACCAAGCCGGAGATCGTCGAGGAACTGAGGAAGTTGTTGATGCTATAGAGAAAGAAGCATGTGGAGATGATACAAGAGGAGATCAAGCTACAGGATGGGATGTCCTCCAGTATGCCAGATCTGAAAATGTCTACTTAGGTGGCACAAGGACTCCTCTTGCTGCAGTCCGAGGTCCCATTAGGAATCACCATAATTTCAAT